CAAACGAGCCAACGTAACAGCAAAAAAATATAAATGTCTGATGAGTATGCTAACCAATAATTCCAACTTCATAGACGATGATTAAATGAGCTAAAAGAGCCTTGAGGCTTTAAGAGTTACTGTTACATTAATTACATTATTATAAAGTACTCAAATTACGCATACCCATCAACAACTATTTCTGGTCCGATTATAGAAAACCTCGTACGTCTACGGCTTCCTCTGAGAACTTGCCGACGTAAAATAGCGTTGAGACTCTACAAGAACAATAAATATTCTTTAGCTTCGCGTTTTATTAGTTTCAACAATTTTGGGCGCTATCGCATGATATGGGGACATCCTCTAGGACTAAGCTCACAGGAGCAGTCACCTCGCCTAAAGGATAATCCAGTTTTCAACAAAACGGATATGTTTTACGCGGTTTTGAATGTGTTGCGACCGCAGAGGCCCCGTAAGGCTGCTTTCATAGTCTGCGGTCGGTGCGGTCCGCGCCGTCCGTACGGACGGCTCGGACGGCGCGGACCGCACGGACCGCAGACTGTGAAAGCAGCCTAACTGCGACAGCGCCCAATTTTGCTCAGCAATCAAACCAACGCTGGAACCACTTCGGCTCAAATCCATTCGTCTGTTTCGAAAACCTCACACGAGATTCCTGGCTCAACCGAAACTCTTCAACAACCTCAAAAACGAGCGATGTCTTTTTAATTTACATATTAGAGAAAAACTGTGCCGCTCACCTGTTCAAGCGCAATATTTCTTATTGGTACCTGGGTGTCAGTACGACAGGTTGGACAAGATATGTTCTCGCTCAACCAGTGCTGTATGCATTCTGCACAAAATGAATGGCCACAAGAAAGCATTGAAGGCTGAACTATGAAAAATTTCAAAAGTTGCTTCCGTTGAACCCTATGTAAAGCAAATTCCACCTTTCTAAAAATATTCATGCAAATTGAGCAGCAGAAATCGGCTGGAAGTGAGGAAAGACGGCGCAGCGTTCGTGTCACCTCGCCACCTGCGGAATTTGTCAATCCCTGCAACAATTCAGAATCCTATTCGCAAAGTAAAAATATATATAAGGAGTTCTCACCGAGGAAAAGCTAGAATGTTTGACGATTGGTGGACGTAAACGGTCTACTGATGACATATCCCTCGGTTCTAGTTTTTTGTGAAGAAGCCAACGAATGCAGAGTCTTGAATAATGTCTGAATACTATGATTGCAAAGTAATGAAGTCTTGGAAGGAAGACGAGTACAGTTACCAGCTAAAACGTTCAATAAACGAAATTCCCGTAAGCAAGATGTTTTGTCCGTAAATGACAAAGATGCAGACATTAGGGTAACGTTACGGTAATATTGATTAGGTCGCCGTTGGTAGCGCCGCAGTAAATGAATCGGAAGGTCTGATTTGTGATCAACTTTAAATCATTTCAAGGTTTCACGAAGAGAGTAGGGCAGCAATGCGCAAAAAGCAAAAGGGTTCAAAACAAGTGGGATGGGCACGCCGTATTTTTTGAATACGGTAGGCGCGAAATGCATGCGAAGGGGAACCGCTGCTTGCTACTATGATGACACGAAAAATGAGGGGATTCCGTGAGCCAGGTGAGAGTGTAGCCCATCTAGGGGGAGTGGAGGAT